CCCAGGGGGGATGGTCACGCCGCAATTCCTTCTCCTCCATTCTCCTCTTGGGATCTTGGGCACGCACGCACATGCGCCCGGCGTGAGTTTTAAGTCACCAGGTCTGGGACGCGAACCGTGGTCGACTACGTGGGAGTCCAGCGACATAGCCATTACGCTAACTGCTAGTTCCCGAATGTAAGTTTGATGAATATGTCAGGCAGTGAGATTTCTTTAGCATGTGTGCAGAAAGTGTGTAAGGAAAATATAGATAGTTTGGACTCATGCAAGATTAAGCTTTTCCAACTAAATGAGATACAAACATGCACACACACATGCACACATGCATGTACAGAGGTATGCATACACAAAACAAAACAAACAAAACATAAGAAAACAAACAGAATACTTAGTAAACATTTTTGGAGAATATAGAAAAAAGGAGAAATTTTAGTACATGAGCATGAACACAATCTAAGGACCAAATGGAAAATATATTTGAAAAAATGTTATTTCTCAATTTGAAATTTCATTATAATTTCCAAAATGATGATACGGTTCCCTTAATATATATATATATATATATACTTCTTAATCAAAGTATTGTTGTTTCTTCAAGGAGATAACAATCATTTCATTGTATTCTTTCTCATATAACTTTGTCTAATAAAATATATTATATATATATATATACTTCTTAATCAAAGTATTGTTGTTTCTTCAAGGAGATAACAATCATTTCATTGTATTCTTTCTCACTTTGTCTATAATTATAGTATTGTTGTTTCTTCAAGGAGATAACAATCATTTCATTGTATTCTTTCTCATATAACTTTGTCTAATAAAATATATTATTTAGCCATGATATAATCATGATTAATATTATAGGATACTTAAAACATACTTGAAGATTTAAAATGTGCTGAAATTGTCAAAGGAACAATATTTTACACATGTATAAATGACTACAAACAAAATATATGCAATACAAATATTGTCTTAATTTTTTCTTAATTCTTTTCTGCACTCACCATTCTCTAAAATGTATGTAATTTGTTTTAAACCTAAAATCAGGAAAAAACTACATAATTGAAACTATGGTTACCCTGTTTGTTCACTGATTTTGCTTTATATTCCCTACCTGTTATTGATGAAGGTCACTGACATTCTTTTAGAACCTGTGCTAATTGACTTGTACTTTTATGTATTTTTTTTAATCTTTATTCATGACTCAATGGAAATGTTGAGAATAGGTCAAATATGTTTGCCATTACCTTAAACATGCAGGACAACGAATGTCTGAAGGTGTCTGTTATGCAAGGTGACAGGTTAATTAAGACAGATCACATAACCAGAAGTGAAAATGTGATTTGTGTTTCTACTCCATGTTTGTAGAACCGATGCCTGACTCAGTATGTGATTACAGATCATAGATAGGTTAATTATAAATTGCAATTGGGATAGAAAAATTGGAGAAAAAGAAAAAGTTTTGGATGATAATAATGAAACTATTCTTTGTCATTTTAGGGGAAAGAATTAGAACTTGAACACATCTAGTATGAGCATGAGGCTTTTCAATAGTAGTAATTTCCATCCGTTGCTGCTTTCTGGTTTCCCTGGTTTTGAAAATCATCATCTTCAGATCTCCGTCCTTTTCTGTGTCTTATATCTAATTGCCATTATGGGTAATGGCACCATATTGGTAGTAATCTGGGTGGAAAAATCACTTCATGAACCGATGTACCTTTTTCTTTCCATGTTGTCGGTCAGTGACCTTGGTCTCTGTGCCACCACCTTCCCTACGGTACTGAAACTTTTCTGTTTTGGTGCTCGTGAAATACACTTCGATGCTTGCCTTGCCCAAATGTACTTCATCCACATCTTCTCTATGATGGAGTCAGGGATCCTGCTGTCTATGGCTTTTGACCGCTATGTGGCCATATCCAACCCTCTCAGATACACTGCCATCCTAAACAGTGGTACTGTAGTGAAAATTTCATCAGGGTTTGTGTTGCGGGCCATCATTGTTCTCATCCCTGCTCCAGTCCTCATAAAGCAACTCAAATTCTGTGGAGCCAATGTACTTTCCCACTCCTACTGTCTGCATCCAGACATTATTAAGCTTTCTTGCTCTGACCACCGAATTAACAGCTTCTTAGGTCTCACTGTCATTATCATCACATTTGGCCTTGATTCTGTGCTCATCCTGCTCTCCTATATGAAAATCCTCACTATGGTTCTGAGTATTGCCTACCAGAAAGAACGTGTCAAGGCCCTCAACACCTGTGTTTCCCATGTCTGTGCTGTGCTGCTCGTCTACATCCCCATGCTGGGAGTGTCTGTCATTCATCGCTTTGGGAAGCACGCTCCACCTGCGGTTCACGTCACCATGGGCTTTGTCTATCTGTTGGTCCCTCCTGTGCTCAACCCAATTGTCTACTGCATCAAGACTCGTGAGATTCGCACGCACCTTTTGGGTATTTTCAAAAAATATGTATTAGTATTTAAATATTTTTAGTGTCAAAAGAGGCAATATTCAAGTTAAACAAAGGTGTCTATATGTGTTAATACTATATAAACAAAATGCAAAAAAACTGGGGAGGGTAAAAAGAAAGTTATGAAAAAAGGCTAATATGTAATACTATGTATTCTGTGCTATAGAATCATTCATTTAAAAAGTCAATATTCTAACAGAACTCAAGCTAGTTTTAAAGAAAGATTCCTAAACTCTCTTCATTATGTTGGAACTCAACTGTGTTGTGATGTGTCTTTCTTTTTTTTAGAATTATTTTATTAATTTTTATTTATTTATTAATTTATCTTAATTCAGCCAGAGAGAGACAGAGAAAAAGAGAGAGAGTGAGAAAGAAAGGAGCCAGGTCCAGGACTTGAACCTTGGTCAGCTATGTGGGAATGTCCAGCATCTTAACCACCATGCTACTTGCTGGTCCCCTGATGAGTCTTTTTTTCATACATAAAATATTTTCTCTGAATTTGTCCATATCTCTGATATCAGGAGAAACTAAATAATCATCAAGTAAGTTTAAAAATTTGCAGCATTCATTTAAGATACATTTATCCGGTCTTATTAATGTCCAGACACAAGAGCAATGAAAATAAATAAAACAGGTAATATCGTTGCCTCGTTGCCTTGATTAATGTCATGTTAAGTTGAAGTAGGAAAATATTTCAAAATTAAGTATAAATAACAAAGGAACTTTGTCTTTCTGTCTGTCAATACCATACAGATTTAAAAATCCCAGCCACTCATTGAGATTAATTTTCTGAGTGAACATGACATCCAAGATTACCTCAGAATCAGCAAGTACTTCTGCATATTTCTGCCATGATCAAGTTTGATATCTGAGATGATTCTGGATATTTGGATAAAGATCTCTTCTTAAATGGGAAAATTTCTTACCCTTTTACACAGTCTATTGCTCTCCTTACTTATGCTAATTTTTAATTTGCCAGAGAAGGTAAACACAAGCCAGAGATCGAGAGAGGAGACAGAGAAAGCAGAAACCCCTTCACACACCATAGGTTGAGGTCACGTCACAGTCCCTTGTCCTTCATTTCTCCCTTCTGTTGGGAGTTTGGGAATACATACACACCTGGTGTATTTTCCAAACTGCTGGATCCAGGATTCAAATTGCACAGTCAGACATGTGGGATCTGGCTCTTAAAACCAACAGGCCATGAGATGCCCCTGTCCTCATTCATTAAAGGCCTAGCCTGCAGGGGATTACCTAGTCACAAGGACTAAGAGATGTGGCGTGATAAGATATAAAGGAGAGTTTAAAAATATAAGTTGCCTTGCATTTCTCATCTTGTATAAATAAAGCCTATATATATATATATATATAATATATATAATAAATAGTTTAGATACTCAATTTTTGAAAGAAAAAATAAATCTCAGAGTACATTTTTTGATTACTATAGTTGTTCATCCATTCCAAAATTATTCTCTATTATCTGAAATATGTTAATACCTTAACTTTCATTATCCTGGATTAGTTTAAGTTGATGCCCAAGCCAGGTACAATTTTGTTTTCTATATGTCTACCTGTGTGCTTCCAAAAAAATCAGAAGGTATTTATTAAAATATGTAAAAACTCAGATAAGCCATGTAATATGTTAGTTAAGGTGGTTGGAACCCATTTGGCTGACTGCATGGTTCAGATCCTGAACAAGAGAAGTGTGAAAAATACACGGGGGCTGTGTTTGTGCATGCCATAAATCCAAAGAGAAGAATGGGGGAGAAGGAATTGTGGCATGGCCATTTTCCCTGGGATAGTGATTTCTCACTTTCCTCCTATTTTTCTCTTTCTGGCTCTCTCTGGTGAGCACACATACCCTATAGCAAAACAGAACAAAACAAAACAAACAAAGGTAAAAACCCAAAGTTAAATGAAAGTTTAGTGACATTGAAGTTCACACAGAAAGATAGATGTCTCTTGGTGCAATACGTATTATCCCCAGTCAGAATCATGGCCTTCAACGCTGTGGGGCTGGCAGGTGGTGTGGAGGTTAAGGGCGTTGAACTCTCACATGGCCAACAGTGGATCAAGTCCCAGTCTTGGTGTCTTGCTTTCTCACTTTTTCTGTCCTTCTCTGGTCAAACTAAAACAAAATAAATAAATAAACAAAGTTAAATAAAATAATTCTTTAAAAAATGCTTTAAATATTTTGTAAAGAGTAAATGAAAAGAGGGACCAGCACTTAGCATAATGGCTATGTCACTGGACTCCCATGTAGTCGACTGCAGTTCAAGTCCTGGCCCCCGTGGCTTAAACTCATAAGATCCTGAGAGGAGAATAGAGGAAAAGAGATCGTGGCATGGCCATCTTCCCATGGGTAGTGATTTCTTGTTTTCTCTCTCTGTCTTTCTGGCACGTGCACGTGCCCTATAGCAAAAACCTCTCCAAAAAAAGAAAAAAAAGTAAATGAAAATGTAATAACCAAATTTTCAAAATGTTACTTGGTACAAAATGAGATAACAAACCCAGAAAAAAATAGATGGAAAGAAAACATTAAAATAATTTTCTTAAATAATAATTTAGGACTGACCTCATAGAGCAGCAGTTAAACAACATGCACAGGGATCTAGACCCAGTCATGCCACATTACCCACTATGGTTTGATTCCGACCCTGGTGGCTTGAAAGATTATGTCAGGTATATGTATGTATGTGTCTAAAATAATGACAGGGTGGAAAATGGAAGAGAAAGGACTGTAGTATGACTGTACCCTATTGGAGGTACTTTCTCACTTTCTGGCAAGTATACACACACTTTAGAAATAAAAAGTAATTATTTATGCAATTTTATTTATTTATTTAAAGAGATTTTTGCTATAGGGTATGTACACTCACCCCAGAGACAGAGACAGAAAACAAGAAATCACCCCCTAGGGGGATGGTCACAATCCTTTCTCCTGCATTTTCCCCTCAGGACTTTGGGCATGCATGCACACGTGCCTGGCGTGAGTTGTTTTTTTTTTTTTTTTTTTTTTAAATTTAATCAATTACTTACTTAATTAATTTTTTTTAAGAAATAAATGGGGGGGGAAGCAAGGAGGTCTTTTTCAAGGGCTTAGGAAGTCATTATTTTGGAAAGTAAACAACTATGTAAGATACCGTAGAATCATTTTCCAGATTCTATGGGAAGGTAGCAAAGGAACTTCAGCTGGCTCCTGATTTCAAGTTGCAAAAGTACTTCTTGTTAAAATATATGAGGAGTTCATTGTTATTTGTAGCATGTTTGGGAGTAGTTGGGACAATACGGTGTATAGCTGGAGTAGTTAGGACCTGAATATGTGATTATCAGAGAATGGGAGAAGGGTTTACAGATATTTTCAAAGATTCAGCTAGATCTAAATTGATAAAATAGAGAAGGAAACAATGGTAGAACAATTCTGAATAGTACTGAGTCTTTGACAGAGTGTTTTTGAGATTGATGTTATTTAGAGGTTTTATAAAAGTCTATCTAGACATAGTATAATAAAATAATCTCACCAAATTTTTAAAAGTCTTTGAAAATATAACATTTTTCTTTATTTGCCTTTTCAGAAGACATTTCTTTTTCTACTACAATCCCAATTTCCAAAGTTATAGATTTGAAAGTCTTTCACTCTAATTGTATATGACATATAAACAATCTTGTTAATTGAACTCTATAAATATAAAGTATTGAGTCAATAATAATAATATCGCTAATAAAGCTGACCAAACTGAACAAGATAGTCTTAATAGAGAAAACCTGTCATAAAGTAAGATCACATAATAGGAGAGATGTGGTTTTATGAGGCAAATATATTAAATTACATTAGATATAATTTACACAAGTTTCCCAAGGACAACAAAATGAAATCGATGCTAGTTAATACTTTAGATATTACAAGTGAAAGATACAGGTATAAAGAATTCTAGAAAATGAACGTATGGGTTTTTGTTCTTGTTCTTGTTTTGTTTTTACAAGTGGTAGAAACTTGTAAGGGGAAGATTGATTGTTTTAGGATTTGTGAGAAGTCAAAACTTGAAGGAATCGCTCTCTGATTCTCTTGGTTCTAATGCCATAGATCATTGGGTTCACCATGGGTGGAACGAGAAGGTAGATGTTAGCCACAAAGATATGAATGTGAGGAGCCACATTGCGTCCAAATCTGTGAGTAAGAAAAGAGAAAAAGGCTGGAGTGTAGGCCACTAAGATCACACACACGTGGGATCCACAAGTGCCCAAAGTCTTGAGCCGAGCAGCCTTGGACGGAAGGTGGAAGACAGTGTAAAGGATGACAACATAGGAGCATATGATCAATAGGAAATCCAACCCCCCAGTCAAGAAGGCAGCAGTTAGGCTGTATATTCTGAAGATTCTGGTGTTTGCATAAGCAAGCTTGATCAGAGCCATGAATTCACAGTAAGTGTGAGGAATGATGTTAGTTCTGCAGTAGGGAAGCCATCGAAGCATGATTGGTTGAGGGCTGCAAAGCAGAGCCCCACGGAGAACAATAACTAGCCCCAAGGTTTGGATGACTCTATGAGTCAAGATAGTGGAATGTCTCAGAGGATTGCAGATGGCCACATAGCGGTCAAAGGCCATGGCCAAGATAAACCCTGAGGCCATGCTGCACAGTGAATGAATGAGAAATACTTGGACAAGGCAGGCTTCAAAGTAGATCTCCCTGTCATGGAACCAAAAGATGCTGAGGAGTTTAGGCATGGCAGTAGTGGAGAGGATCAGGTCAGCCACAGAGAGCATACAGAGGAAGAAGTACATGGGCTCATGCAGTTGGGAATCTGTTTTGATAATAAATAGAATTGAGAAATTTCCCAGGAGAGCACTCAGATAAACCAGACTGAAGGGTATTGATATCCAGATGTGCATGGCCTCCATTCCTGGAATGCCAAGGAGAAGAAAGATACTGGGGTGTACATTGGTATGATTTGATAAGAACATGATGAAAACTAGAGGCTGTGTTCAACTGTGGAGTGTTTTATATTCTTCCATATTCATCTGTTTATTCATATACTAATATCTATATTTATTAATTTATGTAAAGCTACCCTTACCAAGTTTCTGAGTCTTACTAAGACAAAGCAACACAATAAAGGTTATTTTCTAATTTCAGATAAAAAATTTTAATAGGGGAGAAACTGGCGCAAACCAATGATTAAATTCTCATGTAACTATTGTAGTGAATGTAATAATAAATGAGAAATTTGTAGGACACAATGTATGTAGAAATATATTCCACAGTATGAGTCAAAGGATTCTTGGTTCTGTTCCAGAGCTCTGAAATAAAGAGAACCACATTAATTTTACAAAAAGAGAAATTACTATCAAAAGACATCAGCAGATGCCCTAGAAAAGACTTTTTTATTCAAAAATTATAGTACTTGTTTTTTGTTTAATTATTAAATTTTTTGAATACATAAATAAAAGTTGTATACATTTATTGTTTATATATTGTTTTAAAATATGTATTTCCTGGGGCCAGAGGTGATGTCATGGTTGAGACACTGGATTCCCACATGGCTGAGCTAGTTTTGAGTCACAGACGTGGCTAGAAAATCACACTGGGCACACACATGGCTAAAATTTCATAAAGAGCAAAATTCTCAGAAGAGAATGTTGGAAAAGGGATTACAGCATGGCCATTCCCTCTGATGGCTGATTTCTCACTTTCCTTCTGTCTCTCTCTGTTTCCTCTCCACAAATGCATGCACCTTTTGCCAAAAAACTAAAAATAAAATAGAATTAAAATTAAAGAAAGTATTTACTGTGGAATGACCAAACGGAGCTAATATATGTATTTATCATATATATCACTATTTGTGGTAAAAACTAAAAAGCAAATCAAAACTTAGTCTTTTAGCAATTTTCAATAATTTTATTTATTAAGTGTAGGTAGTCGGGACCAGCAGTTAGCATAATGGCTGTGTCGCTGGACTCCCATGTAGTCGACTGCAGTTCGTGTCCCGGACCCGGTGGCTTAAAACTCACGTTGGGCACGTGTGCGTATGTGCCCAAGATCCCGAGAGGAGAATGGAAGAGAAGGGATTGCAGCGTGGCCATTCCCCCTGGGGGGTGATTTCTCACTTTCTGTCTCTCTGTCTCTGTCTGTCTGACGAGCACACACGCCCTATAGCAAAAACCTCTCAAAAAAAACAAACCCCAAAAAGTGTAGGTAGTATCCTGTACAACATATCTCTTGAACTTTCTTTGTTTCCCTTGAATAGTAGTATCCCTCAGCTCACCTCTGCCCTTTAGCCCCTGGTAACTACCATTCTACTTTCCACTTCTCTTAGATCAGCCTTTTCAGATTTCATATGTAAGTGTGACCTTGTGGTATTTGTCTTTCTTTTGCTTATAAGTGCATCTTATTTATTTATTTATTTATTTATTTATTTATTTATTTATAATGTTTTTGCCATAGAGTGTGTGTAATCACCACAGAGAGGCAGAGAGCGTGAAAGTGAGAAATCATTCCCTGTTGGGGATGGCCATGCTGCAGCCCCTTATCCTCCAGTCTCCTCTAGGGATTCTAGGTGCACATGCAATCAATGTGATTTTAACTCCCTTCTCCCACTGACTGGGATTCAAACCATAGTCAGCCAGGTTCTGGAATCCAGAACCTTAAAGATCATACCACCCCTTTATAAGTGCCTCTTGATGTTATAAAATACCTTGGTGAGACCATGATAATATATTAATCCTAGATAAAAGAAAGTTTATGTGTTTTATATACACTTTGATTTTTTTCAAAAAGATCTGTTTATATACCTCGACATAGTAAAAAGTCAGAAGCATTATAAAGCAATCCATTAGCAGTGATTAGGAATTACGAGTCAAGGTTGGTAGAAACAAATCGTATCATATTTAGAATTTTTGTTTATAAAAAGTTTGTTTCATAGCAAGCATTGTTATCTTATTAAAAATGCTTTAGTGATGTTTCAAAAATTATAATGAGTTTTATTTTCACTCACTTCAAACTATTTCCTAATGTGCTTTATTTGATTCACAGGTTTGCAAAACTATATTGTATTAGTTCCAAATAAACCATAGAGTTTGAAAGGGAATTGCTGTTACATTTGACTGATCACAGCAGGAAACCAATGTCAACTCTATCATGACTTAGAATTCTTTTGCCCATAACTATTTATAAATATATCAATATAGCACTGGCATTTTAGAATGGAGGAAAAGATTGAGTAAAAGGAAAATAGTGGAATACAGCATTCCAGAGAAAAATCATGCAGTTAAGAGACCAAATCTGACAAAATTCTACCAAGTTAAAAAAATTTTAGGAGTAAAGAAACAAAATTAGAAATGCAAAGCAATAACTGATGTAGTTACTTTTCAAATTCCACATATATTTTATTGTGGGGAATTCCTTGCATTTAGACCCAGAAATTCTTCTACCAAGAAAACATGCTTTTGTGCAGATATTCTTTCTACATTTATCAACCTTTAGCCTCACTATTTTTGGGTTTTCACTTTCTTGTCAAGACTTGGTGACTAAGATTTGAATTAGGAACTCAGATGGCATTAGCTGTAATAGAACAAAGGAGTCATGTCTCTGGATCCTATGAGGGACATAGTCATTTAATCTCTTTCCTCAGAAGCCACATGTACACAATACCTGTGTGGAGTTCTTTCCCTTTGTCTCATTACCTCTATAGAAACCAACCCTTTCTTCAGTAAAATAAAAGATTCCTGACTCTCACCTCATCTACAGTAATAGGCACTTATTGGAAACGACAGTGAACTCACATTGTCATCCTCCCTCTCCTCACAGGTGCTTCTTTCTGTATCACAGCACAGGATTCTAGGATTCTTCATCTTCAGCACCTTGATGAATACCTTCAATAACCTGGCTTATCCTTGACTCACATGTATGCCAAATGCTGATGTGCACACTTTGTGCAAGAGTCTGACTCCAAAGAGAATCAGAGCATTATTACTTCCATGAGTCCAGTTTTTACAGCATAAATTATCCTTGGAAAACTTCACAAGGATGGCATGCTTTTTCTAGAAGCGAGATCAGATGGGAAAACTTCAAAGCTACTGGGAGAAAAAGAGCTGATGGTTCAGAATTCAGATGGTGAGTTTATAGGCCTAAAGAAACAAAAAGGGTATAATATATCTGTTCAGTTAGAAGTTACCAATCATTACCTCATTATTTTTTTACCCCCTACAATCCTAAAACAGTCCTTCTAATCTTCCAGTGTTATTGTGTATTTTGATTTCTTGAGTCTTCAAGTTCCCAGGGCCTTCTGCTCTCTCTTTTTGGTGAAGATAAATAATTGAGATGATTATGTCATGTAAGCCCCTACCTGTTTTAAACACCAGCAGCTCCGGCTCCATTATTATTACAATCTACTCATTCTTCTGTCCACCTCTCCTGTATTAATAATGTGAGAACCGCAAACTCCCGGGAGCCAAGAAAGCGACTCAAGGTGCTCAAGATCTCCCTGTGGAGCCCAACACATGCTTAAGTCAAGTTTGTAAGTGGAAGTCACCACCAAGTTCTGAGAGTTATCCTCACATCACTTTTTTTTTTCCCTTCAGAAACAGTTAGTGAAACAGAGACAGAGGAAAAGGGAGAAAGCATCCCCCAGTGAGGTGCGTCACACCACAGTTCCTTTTCCGTTTCTCCATTCTGTCAGGATTTTGAGCACACACACACACACACACACACACACACACACACACACACTGTGTTTTTTAAGCTACTGTGGCTGAGATTCAAACATACATCAGCCTTGTGGGATCTGGCTCCCTTAACCCACTAAGTTACTTAGTTGGCTCTAAAACTCATTGTGTAAATTATTTAGTAGTCTCAGAATTCTTAGAGTTACTATACGAAAAAAATATTTGATATATATCTAAAATAATTCAAAACATATGTCCAGACCAAATCAGATATATAAATATTCACAGTGGAATTCATCAAAATAGACAAAAATTAAAAATAATGTCCATCAACTGAGGATTAGATAAACAAAATGTAGTATATTCTGTATAATAAAATATTATTCCACTATCTTAATTGGGGCAAGTAATCAATAGGAAAAATGTAATAACCACAATAGGAAATATTTTAAGTTTCACCTCTAATTATGACATTTTAGGATATGGATGATTCATGTATCTTAAAGTTGTAGTAAAGTGGTGAATGTATTCTCTAAACAAGGGATTGTCTTAGAAGTCTTATTTTGATATTTTTATATATGCAAAAGATAATGGAAGACTTTATCAATTTATCTTAGGAAAAAATCTTATACATGAGTATTAGTGTTATAGACACTGTAGAGTAAGATTGAGTATGTCACCTTTATTACCTAGAAAGCTATCAGAATACAAGTGTCAGGGAAAAGTCTAAACTGGAAAGAGATAAAATATAATACCAAGTGTTAAGTGCCCTAACAATGGTTCAAAAGAGTAAAATGGATCTTAGAGGATGGGACTATTCATTCTCTCTGAGATTTTACGTGTACAAATACATATACGTATCTCTATATATTTATAGATATAAATGTATACATAAATGTATACATATGCATATGTATATTCATATACACACATGTATACATGTTTACTACATCAACTCAATTCTAATTATTTGTTGTTAACTGAGCAATACATAGTCTGAGCTATGTGTTTCTGCTTAAAGATATAATTATTTGTTGTTAACTGAGCAATACATAGGCTGTGCTATGTGTGTTTCTGCTTAAAGATGTTTTATTATAGAGTTCTTAAATATAATTAATTACATGGTCTGTGAATAATTTAAAGCCATGGTCTTTGGAGGCCATTTGTGGTATGTAGGTTAATTGGTCAATTTCTCTGTAAAATAAGTTTGTCTCAGTAGCTTTGAAAACCTGTCTTTCAAATAATCTTTTTTCCTGTACAACACGTAGCAGACATTTAAGAAAACAAAAAAATATGAAGTC